CATCTCCACTTAAAATGCTCTAGTCTCTCTCCTCAACCATTGCCCTCTGCTGCATTGAGTGGTTTCTCCAGGGCCTTCACATCTCTTTGCAAACTTTGCTTCCTCTGATCACGTTTGCTAAGCCTTTACCAGGTCAACAGTCCATGAAAGACACTGCCTCCCCAAGCACTTGTAGTCTTCATTTTACATCTCTTTGTGTGTTTGGTTTTGTTTATCTCTTTTTGTAATTAACATTGACCTCTCAACCAAACCATAAGCATAAGATGGCAGGGACTTCTCTGCAACCTCTAGCACCATGCCTGTCACACAGCAGGTGCTTAATGGCATAGTTAATGAATGAATGGAGCAGCCTGTTGATTTTACTCATCTTGATCCACTTCAGATTCATTTTACTGAAGAACTAACCGTGGCTTTCGAAGTCTCTGATAATGAATGCCACTCTGCAGTTTCAACTCACTAAGTAGGAAAGGGATCACCTAGGGCACTGCTGAAATGAGAAGGAAAGGCAGTGACTCCCATCACCCTTTGCTTTTTATCCCTAATGCTCTAGGAAAAGAGGGGCAGTCTAACACCAGTGGTACCTGTGAGTGTGTCATAGGTCATACTGGCGCTTTTCATGTTAGGGCCATTTCCAGAACTGGTTATAGTGATTTTATTTGATAAAATAAGAATTGAATACCATCTCTAGATGAGCCTTCAAACTCTAGTTGCTTCAATGGTGCCACCATTTTATTTTTAAAGTACAAAAAACAGTATTCTGTGGTTAGGTAGTAGGCTAGTAAATAAATATTATAAATTTTTAATTTTAGTAGAATTTTTATAGTCAGTTTAAATTGTTTTTTGAAGGGAAATGCCTGGTATCTCATCAATTCTGGGACCATTCAACCAATTTAGACTGTGGTGGAGATAGGAGTAGAGGGAATCATGGGTGTTTTGTAACATTAATGTTTGATTAGAAGTATCATGTGTGATAAGGTAACTTTATGAAGTGGAAGATTACCTTGACTCACTTAGAAGGAAGCTGGAAAAATCAGTAAATGCTTATTGATAATTTATGTGTGCACATGCATTTGGTGCTAGGCATTTAACCCAAGACCTTGGGCCTTGTGTATGATATATTTTCTACAAATTAATAGAATCACCTGTGAGGACACTGGATCCCTTGAAAACTTATTTTCTTTAAAAAAAAAAAAAAGAAGAAGAAGAAGAAAGAAAAGGAAAGGAATTGAAAGGAAATCTTCTGGCCTGGCATGGGGCCTGGTAGCTCATACTTAAAATCCTAGGTACTTGAGAAGGAGAGGAAGAAGAATCTTGAGTTTGAGATTAGCTGAAGAAGTGGTTAGTGAGAGGATAGCTCCAGAATAAAAGGACTAGTTATGTGTGGGGCTCACATCTGTAATACTAGCTACTTAGATGATTGAGATCTGAGGATAGTGGTTCAAAACCAGCCCAGGCAGGAAAGAATGTGAGACTCTTAACTCTAACCAGCAAAAAGCTGAAAATTGAGCAATGACTCAGATAGTAGAAAGCCAATCTTGAGTAAAAAAGCTAACGGAGAATGATACTCCACTGTTGGTGGGAGTATAAACTTGTTCAACCACTCTAGAAGGCAGTATGAGGATTCCTCAAAAGACTAAATATAGAGCTCCCCTATGACCCAACAATCCCACTCCTGGGCATTATTCAAATGACCCCAAAACGAGGCCACACTAAAGCTACCAGCACAACCATGTTCATTGCAGAATTATTTACTATAGCTAAGATATGAAACCAACACAGATGTCCCTCAGTAGATGAATGAACACACACACACACACACACAATGGAGTTCTATGCTTCCATTAGAAAGAATGGCATTGCCCTATTTATAAGGAAATGAACAGATCTGGAAAAAATTATATTAAGCAAAGCAAGCCAGGCCCAAAGAAATAATAGGTTTCATGGTTTCCCTCATTTGTAATAACTAAAAGATGTCTATGATATTCTTAGCAGGGGATCACAATAGCCCAATCCCTAAGTGCATAGGACCATATAATGAAGGGTGTCAACATGAACTCCAAGAATTGGAAAAGAGGTTCTTATTATGTCCTATAAGCAGTTTTTTTCTATTTTTCTTTCTAATTTGGTTTGTTGTACCCTTTGTCTTGTTGTATATAAGCTTATCTGATCCATGGAAGGTAAGAGGAATCACAGAAACATCAGGACAAAGGATAAACTAATGCAACAATGATACTCAGTACACACTATGTTGGAAATGAACTTTACAACTTGGTGGGGAGGGGAATTGGGGAGTGGTAAATGGGAGGAAGAGGGTAACTGTTTACTCTTTACCTTACTTATGTAACTGTAACCCTCTCTTCATCACCTTTACAATCAATTTTTTTTAATTTAAAAGCTGATGGACAGTGCCCGGGGCTCTGAGTTCAAGTCCCAGTACCAGCACACGCACGCACACACACACACACACACACACACACACACACGATTGAGGCCTAGCTGAGTGGTAGAATGGTTGCTTAGCTTATTTGAAGGCTTGAGTTTAATTTCCAATAGTACAAAAAAATTCTGAAGAAGGATTCACTGTAGCAAGAACATTTTTGGGCAAGGAACTTATTGTGGCAAGGAAAATATATGACCCTGGCTAGATGCCTATGGCTCATGCCTACAATCCTAACTACTCAGAAGCCTGAGATTTGAAGGATCAGGATTTGAAGCTAACCCAAACAGAATTGCTCATAAGACTTCCGCTTCAAAATAACCAGTAAAAAGCAGGGCTGTTGACATGACTCAAGTGGGCAGAGCACCAGCCAATCAAGAAACATTGAACAAACAAGAGGCCCTAAATTTAAACCCCAGTACCAGACGAGAGCAGAAGAGGAAGGAAGAGAGAAGGGGAAAGGGAGATAGAGAGAAACAGACAGGCGGTGAGAGAAGAAAACGCCTGACTCTTGCCAGGATGTATCTCTGGCTGGCACAGGATAGGGCGATCTCATTGGTATCCACAGAACAAATCCTGACAAGGCAGCATGCACAGTAGCTGCTCAGAGGGAAATAAAACGCAGAAAATAAAACACAGCAAGTTCTGAAGGCTACGATGCTTGCACAGGTCCTCTCTTCTTGCTTAAACAATCACATTTGCTACTATCACAATGGTAGCAGATATAAGCTCAAAGTAAACCTGGAAATTAGCTAGTCCAATTTGCAGAGATGTGAATGGTAACAAGAAAAAAAAATAAAACACCCAAGAGTCAAAAAATGTAAAATTCCCTCCCAGTGTATTTCTATATTTATGGTTGAATATAAGTATGGAGCCAGATAGCATTTCAGACCACACGAGAATTACTGATGTGAAGACTAGAGGGAAGATTACCGCACACTAGCCGTACATGCTAAATATGCGTGTTTGCATCAGCTCTCAGACACAGTCAGGCAGTAGGAGCGTTCCTGGACATGCAGCCTTAGCCCATCTCTCTTTGCGCGGTGAAAAACAAAGCATTTGCAAGTGGGAGTAAGCTGTTGGGGCTGGTGGAGGCTCCAAAATGCCTTCTGTGAGGCACAGATTGTCCCAGGAAACGAAAAGCCAACCTGACAGAGTGAAGGATGTTGGCATAGAACATGCATTTTTCTTAATTTTGTTAATTAAACCTCAAAAGGAAGATCTTCTAGGAATAAATCAACTGTAGATAAGAACAATTTTGGATTCAGATACAGTTCTTGCTGGCTTGCTGGGTCATGTGTTCCTTTGCATACCTCTATTTCATGGCCATTTCTAGGCCCTTCATGTTCTGTATTTATGAAACATAATTTCTGCAGGGAGAGAGATCATCCTGACTGGAAAGGGGTTGGGTAGAGAGGCTAGCACTGAAGGTAGAAAATACACAGTAATATTTCTAGCAAATGCAGTCCCCTAAGAGTAGACTCTGTCTAGAGCCCACTTTACTGATCTTCCCAGAAAGTGACAGTGCCTGGAACAGGAGATGTAGTCCACTTGCTCGGAGCAGCCCCTGGAGGAGGGATATAGTGTCTTGGTCCCCAGAGTCTCCCTCCAGAGCCCTAGGCATTCACCAAGCAGCTTTCAAACAGGGACAAACCAGCACCCACAGCATCTTTGTTCAACATAGAAGAATGTCTGCCCTGAGCTGTAGTCCTGAGTTCAACCTCTGTATGGATGAAAGAACACTTAACTTCTCTTTCTCTACCTTTGGTAAACAAGCAACAAATGCAATCCTCATGGCAGATCATGAGACCCTTTCCTTTTTGACAGGTGAGAAAAAGCATAAAATACCTTGTTATTCACTCCAGGGCCATTTGATGGCTAAGAGTCCTTCATGTACACAGCAGTTGATAAAGCCAACACAAGCTCTCCCATTGTGGGTGGAGAAGTCCTCCTTACCAGCTCATGGTGTTGAGATGACTGAGGACAGTTTCTCTCTGGTGTCTTACGTTCAACTCTAAATGCCAGATTATGTGCCAGGGCTCCTCCTCTCAGTTCCTTTTCCAACCTTCCAGCACCAGGGACTTGCCCATCCATCCAACATCTCCCTGGTCCTCACTCCACAACGAGACACATACACTCACCCAACATTGAATGCTTCAAGCAATTCTAGTAGAGTAATTTGCTTCTTTCCTGTTTGTTGTGCTTAACTTTTATTTCTGTCTTTTGCTTTTCTCTCCTATCGAAAAAGCTCCCTTTGAAGAGATCTCCTGTAGCAGATGTAGGTACACACACACACACACACACACACACACCTGATTTGAGCAATATCACAATATTGTATCATTAACAGAATTAGTCTTATATGCCCAAACACAGGAAGTCTATAATCCCCCACCCCTAATAAAATAGATGTATGAATTTGTAGCTTTGTAACTGTGCTTTGGAGGGAAGATTACTTATGAAAGAGTTCTGAAACTCTGTAGATGAATTTGTTTCTTCTCCATTGCCTGTCAGGTGCTTAACAAGTGAATATAATTTAACACCGTTTTCACTCTTTCTGCAGCACCTGAAATTCTCCGAGGCTGCGCCTATGGACCAGAAGTGGACATGTGGTCTGTAGGAATAATTACCTACATCCTGTAAGTGAAGAGAAAAGAGTGTTTTCATGTCACATAACGTTTTCTAAGAACCAATAGTTCTCATAAGAACCAAGTAGTTTAACTTTGTGGTCTTTTTATTTTTATTTTTTATGCTAGTATTGAGGTTACACAGGGGCCCTCTCGCTCTTGCTTGGCTTTTTCACTCAAGGCTGGCACTCTACCGCTTGAGCCTCTGCTCCACTGTGGCTTTTTGCTGGTTTATTGGAAATAAAACTCTCATGGACTGCTCTATCCAGCCTAACTTCAAACTGTCATCTTCAGATCTCAGCCTCCTGAGTAGCTATGATTACAAGAATGAGTGCCGGAGTGTAATTGTGGAGGTGGGAGAGAAGGGATGGTAAGGCAAAAACAAAGGAGGAGGCAACAATGCTTGATAGGAAATGCACTCATTACCTTGCTCATGTAACTGTCACCCCACTGTACAATATTTTTACAATAAAAAACATTTTAAAAAAGAAAAGAAAAAGAATGAGTGCCAGGCTGGGATTTTTTTTAATTCATGATTAATGTAGTTAGTGACAGAATTTTCTCAAGACAAATATTGCTTATTATTCTGTAATATTCTTGGGACTACCACTTCTGTACAGGGCTTTACTGTTTCCACTTTGCTGTATAGTACACGTAAGATATGAGAAACGATTCAATGGTCAGTGACCATGATGAATGTACAAACTTATTACATGCTTTTCTTTTGTTTGTTTGCATTTTCTCTAGGATAGACTTAGTCCTTTTAAGAAAGCAACTGCAAACTGGCTCATTTCTTCTCAGAATATTTCAAATGCATTTGGTTTTCAATTTTGTTTTCTTCCTGTTATGTTTTTGAGGGCCCTTTTTATCCTCAGAGGGGGAAAATGAGCTAAATATTTCACTATCTGGTATCTCCAAACACATTAACAAGCTACTGTCTAATAAAGCATAAAGAGTTTCAGGAAATTTGCCAGAATGATGGTGGAATTGCAGGTAATGATGAGGGAAATCATAATACAAATGGAAGTGTCTGGAAATGAAGATTACTGTAGAAAAACTAAAGCACAAGATGTTAATGATTTTGAGAGTTTAATCCCAAACAAGCATATTGGTTTGTGATGTAGAAGGTAATGCAGAGTTACTTTGAGGAACCCATAGTACTCAAATCTATGAGGAAATGTTAGAGGGTGCCAAAGAAATTTTTAGTCTTATTCAAGTTACCATAACCTAATTATAGATAAACTGGGTGGCTTAAGCAACAGATAGGATTTTCTCTGAGGTATGAAGGCTGGAAGTGTGAGGGTAGTAATGTTCCTGCACACCATTTGGGGTTTCAAAGGAGACACAGAGACACTGCCTTCTTACTGTGTCTTCACAAGATGAGATGAGAGAGAGAGAGCATGCTTTGTGGTTCCTTCTTAAAATGGTACTAACCCTATGATATGGGTCCCATTCTGATGATTTTATCTAAATCCAACTTCTTCCCCAAAGCCCATCCTTCCAAGGTGTAGCTTTTCCTGGATGGAACCAGATAAACCCTCTCCCAATGAGACATTCCCTAAGCAAAGTCATTTTTGGACACACTTGAAGTTTTCATTCTCTCCAACTAGTCAGCCTGAGGGGAGAAAATTGGGAGAGCTCTTTTGACTTATTATCACTGGTCCACCCCACGCCCACCCCGCCCCCTGCATTCTCTTCAAAGGCAACATTTGCAACATGTACCTGACAAGGACTTTTACTTCTTTTTTTCACAGTTCCCTTCTAGCCTGTAGTGATTTCGAAACATCCACACATTTCTAAATGGTTGATCCCAGACAAGCAACCCATTTTTTTCTCCTCTTTCTCTTTAAGATGCTAGAGAAGTTCCTGGCTCCTGTTCTCTGCCTTCTTCCATTTATTTCTATGTTGACCTTAAGTGGACAGTGGAAGTTAAGGTAGAGAGATGTCTTTATGATATACAAAAGAGGGCTTCATGTCTAAAGATGAGGTAAATCTGGGCTGTTCATCTGTTGGATGCATCTGATCACTGAGTTAAGACTTTTATGACCATCTCTTGCCAATAGACGAAGCTTCTTAGTTCCATTTGAAATCCAAACAAGAAGGAAATAGCACATTTTAATCCATGCTGTTCCATTTTATATTAAGTTGGAACTCTAATCCTTTTTTGCAGTAAGATAAAGTGAATCACAGCCAATTTTATTACAATTCTTCAAAATTTATACTAAAGATGTTCATTGCTTCTAAAAATTATGTCATCCTTTAGATAACGATTGCTTATTTCATCTTTCTCTTATCCTTTTTAATTTTTTTCTTTATGGTTCTTCAGTAGCAGACAGAATCTTTAGTTGTCCAGTTAGGATCTGCTGAGCTACTATATTATGATTTTTTTCAATATTTATAACCAATACTTGGCCTCTAAAAGAAGGGCTTTTGGTCTTTTCAATCACTTGTTGGTTGGGAGAGATGGCCTTGATACCTGTAACCACATGACCTCATTTAGAATCAATCTTATATCCAGTCTTGCATTTCTAATAAAATTCACAACCCACCATTTAATGGGGTTCATTTCATCTGACAATGTAATAATGATGACATATTGGTAGATACAACTAAAAGCTTTGAATACGAAAGACAGGCATTCTCAGTGAAATCCTCAAACCACTGAGAAGTCAGTCATTCACAAGAAATGACCCATATTTCCTTGGCTTTTTTAAACCCCATTAAAGACAAAGTTAACATACAAACATCAGCACATTCTGCAATTGAGTTTTATATTGTAAGACTGATGTTAACTAACTTCTACTAGGTCTTTTAGCACCTGCCAGTGTTTCCAAACAGCATTGTTTGCTCTGACTGCAGTGGTCAAATAGTGGAGAATATGTGTGAATTGTAGTAAGGTGCTGGCTGGTAAAAGAAGAGACCAATCATATGAGTGTCGTATTTGGGATGATGGCAGAAAGCAGAGATGAAGGGGTGAGTTGTTTCTGCTCCTCAAGAGACTGCAGTGGAGAACTCACAGGACAATTTATTATCTTGCTTAGTTGTGTACCATCTTCCACAGCTACCTCACAACTCTGCACTAAATCTCAGAGGCCATGTTTCCCACAGAATGAACTTCAAGGATCTGTTGCTAGATCATTCTTATTGTATAATGATATTCCACTGCTTCTACCTTATTCTATACGAATCACATACTTGTAAAATGTATCTAATATTCCTACCTAAACCATGCTTGCCTACAGACGAAACAGCATCTGACCATCCCTGGTTGATTGCATTTGGCTTATAGTCTCTGGATCTTCAGACATCTTCACAATTGGGTTTATTTCTGCTTGAAACACACAGTTATACAACTGTGGGTGTTTTTTTCTCTCTCAGAGCCTGAGGAAAACCATCAGAAAAAAGTTGTTATATACGTGCATAGCAAAGTCTACTGAATTGGTGTCCCTAAGAAGTTCTGATTTCCCCTTGTAATAATCTTTTCCACTATATATTTCCTTAATTGAGAGTAACCCAAGGTGTGAAAAGACTAGATGCTGATTTTTTTTCAACTGTGTGATAAAAGTAGTCAAATTTTATTCCACCCATCTAACATAAAAAGACTCTAACTTCTACTCATGAAAAATATCTCTGGAAGACCCTTAACGTGATGCCTATATTGTTAGCTATTGTAAATGGTGTTTTTCATGTCATTATATTATTACTATTATTATTATTATTATTGCTTTAGAAATCCAGTGGTCTTACTTCTTGGATATATAATTTGTCTAGGCCCTACCTGTTGTGAATTATAACAAATATGCAATTGCATACAGGTGCTGAGGAGACACTTTCATGGCTGAAAATTGTGCAAAAGGGACTCTTGAATTTTTGCAGAAATTTAATTACATAAACTTAGTCTTTAAAGATCCTTTCCTCCTTCTATGTTTTCCCTCTAGACTTTGTGGATTTGAACCATTTTATGATGAAAGAGGTGATCAGTTCATGTTCCGGAGAATTCTGAATTGTGAATATTACTTTATCTCCCCGTGGTGGGATGAAGTATCTCTAAACGCCAAGGACTTGGTAAGCGTGACCAAAACACAAGGAAAAGAATTCATTTTATCTAATGATTGAGAAAGCCTTTTTAGAAGCATGCCATCATTAATCCTGCATTATAATTTTAAGATATTTTAAATAAAAATTACTGCATTTTTCTTGAGAATGAAAAATATGTATTTTTATTCATCAGTATTTATATTCTTACAACTTAGACTTATTGTGATATTAATGAGTTTCTCTTCTTGATATAAATACAGATAGAGCCTTGCTTAGGAAAAAATAGTAAAAACCAAGTCAATTTAACCATCCTATATATAGAATTTGTCTGATTACTTGCCTTGATTTAGACATAGTTCAAGTAAATTTCATTCAGTTCTTGAAACGTCACTCAAACTTATTAAATTATCTTGACAATAACACAAGTCCCATATGTCTCATATGTAACCTGTCTCAAAAAAGTTCCACTGTATTGATGCATTTTCTTTTTGTGTTGTATTGCTTCTCACTTAAACTAATAGTGAAGCTTACCTGTACTCAAGAAACAATGTGCTTCTAAAAAAGAAGACAGGAAGTGTATATGTAACTTAAATTGTCAATGCCTATCCTAAAAACTTAAGAACAGTGCCAGGGACCAGTGGCTCATGCCTGTAATTCTACTATTCAGGAGTCTAAGATCTGAGGATCATGGTTCAAAGCCAGACAGGGCAGGAGAGTCCGTGAGACTCTTATCTCCAATTAACCACCAGAAAACTGGACCTGTCACTGTGGCTCAAGTGGTAGAGCGCTCTTGCCTTGAGCTGAAGCACCCAGAGTTCAAACCCATGACCAACAACAACAACAACAACAAAAAATTAAGAAGAGTGAGGGAAAGGTTGGGCTCCAAGGGGTGAATGACAGTGTTGAAAGGGGTGACATTAATCAAGATGTACTGTATTCTTTTTTTTTTTTTTTTGTCAGCTCTTCAGCTCAAGGCTAGCGCTCTACCACTGGAGCCACAGCTCCACTTCCGGCCTTTTTCTTTTTGCTTATGTGGTGCTGAGGAATCGAATCCAGGGCCTCTGGCATGCAAGGCATGCGCTCTACCACTGAGCCACCTTCCCAGCCCTGTACTGTATTCTTAAACAGCTTTGTTGTATGGCAAAAAAAAAAAAAAGGGCAGACCAAGAATATTATAAAATTAGGTTTCCTTTCAGTCTTCAGGATTAAAGTAGAGCTTTTACCATCTCCGTCCTGGAGTCCCTTCCTGAAAGGAAGAGAGGTGTGGCAGGAATCCAAAAGTCCTGGGACCTCACCCCCATAAGCCATGTCACCTGCCCAGCAGTCACAAGGGGCCAAAATTCACTTATCCTTAAAAATGGCCTTCAAGGACAACATGCACTGCCACTTCTAGGAAAGAATAAAGTGGAATACAGCTGTTAAAAAAAAATTCACCTTTATCCTCTCTCAGCCTTTCCCACTTCTGGGCATTTACCCTAATGATCACAAACAAGGCCATACTAAAGCTACCAGCACAACTATGTTTATCGAAGCATTATTCACCATAGCTAGGATATGGAACCAACCCAGATGCCCCTCAGTAGATGAATGGATCAAGAAAATGTAGAACCTATATACAATGGAATTTTATGCTTCTATCAGAAAGAATGACACTGCCCCATTTGTTAGGAAATGGAAAGACTTGGAAAAAATCATATTAAGTGAAGTTATCCAGTCTCAAAGAAATTTAGGTCCCATGGTTTCCCTTATTTGTAATCATTAGTATATATATATAGGATTGTCTTATCAGATGAGTTGAAAAGCTCAAAAACATGTACAAATGACCATATAAGATGATGCTAAGTGAAATGAACCCCAAGATATGGACACAAGAAGTCTGTCTTTATTGTTATTGTTTTAAATGTACCATGTGATTTTATTTTTTGTTGTTGCTGTTTCCTTTGTATGTTCTTTCCCCTATGGCATATCCCCTATTGTCACTGCACTCAATTTTGATACCCTGCATCTTGTATATACATATGTCTAATCTGGGGAGGGGAAGGGGAATAACAAAACGCTGAAACAAGGACACAGGATGACCCATTGCAACAAGGATACCCACAGGACAGTATATTGGAAACAAACTTTGCAACTTCAGGTGGCAGAGGGGGTGGGGATAGGAGTGTGGGAGGTAGGGAGGGAAGGGATACTGGGCAACAACAAGGAAGGAAGGGGTAACAATGATTGACAAGTAATGTACTCATTGCCTTACTTATATAACTGTAACCCCTCTGTACAACATCTTAACAATAAAATTTTTAAAAATTCACTGCCAATCCTATAGTGAAAAACTACATAGAAAAAAAAAACAAAAGCTAACTTTTTGGAATCATCAGAGAGATCTTAAGAGTCATCTAGCCCTCCTCTCATTTTAAAGATGAGCATAAAACCAGCTAGATGAAATGACTGACCAAGGCCACACATTACGAGAATTCACTCAGGTTTTCACACCCCCAGGACTCTTTTCCCTCCAAATATCTCTGCTTTTCCATCAGTGTGCTTCCACGGAACAGATCCCTCAAGGCCCATGGTTTTTCCAATGTGACTGAGAATACATGTGATATCTGGCTATGTCACTCCACACTTCTGAGCATGCTCCAGCCTACCCCCTCCTCCCCTCCACCACTGCCACCGTCTGAATCCCACTGTCTTCTCTCACCTGCACCACTGCCATCCCCTGTGACCCCCCTAAAACTTCTTGTGCCTTTCTCAGTCACACTTCACACAAGATCCAGAGGTCTCTTCCTACTAATCCAGAAGCTTCAGCCCAAATACATGCTTCTTTGCAGAGGTGTCAGAAAAGAAGTGAAAGGAGAACCAGACACTATTTTTTTTCTTATTTAACTTGTTGCATCATTTTTTTTTTTACTTCTTGGGTTATTGGAGTTAGAAAAGGTGTGTGTGTGTGTGTGTGTGTGTGTGTGTGTGTGTGTGTGTGTGTGTGTGTGTACATGCCAGTCCTGGGGCTTTCACTAGGGTCCTGGGTGCTGTTCATGAGCTTTTGTGCTCAAGGCTAGTGCTCTACCTCTTGAGCCACAGCTTCACTTTCAGTTTTTTGGTGGATAATTGGAGATAAGTGTCTCAAGGAGTTTTCTGCTCTGACTGTCTTTAAACCACAATCCTCAGCCTCCTAAGTAGTTGACATGAACCATTGTCACCCAAAGCCCTTTATCAGAATGAAGTCCAGAGAGGTTGCTCACCTTGCAACATTATTTGCAGCAGCCACACGATGAGCTTTAGCATGGTGTAGAACAGAGTTTGAATTCAAACTCCAATTATAAATTGTCTGAACCTGGGCGAAACTATTCTTTGAGCTTCTGCCCATCTCTCATTTGTGAATTGGAGCTGACAGTCTCAAATTCAAAGATTACCAATATGGATTTTAGTGATGTTTTGTACACATATAAGAATGTATTTACATGAAAACTGTCTGTCTCCTGAACACTTGCTTTACCCTAGTAACCAAAGCTGACCAGGGGGTTGTTTACATATACCTAAGCTCAGATGCTGACTAGCCATGCGTTGCAAATCTGAATTCTTTATGTGCATGTAAGGCCTGGATGGAAACCCTTGTGGGAACACTTCCTATATTAGCTGTTCTTGTTTCATTGATTCAGAGGGCCATTGGTGTGACCTGACTTGTTTGGAACTTAGTCTCTGGTCTTGCTCAAGCAGGTATCTCAATAAAAGCCTTGCCTGTAAAAAAAAAAAAAAGAATGTATTTACAGAGAAATTAGAGATTTAACCAGAGCTTGTACATCCTTGATTACAAATAGTCTCTCCTTCAAATTGGGTCACACCCTCTGTAGCTGAGAGCAGGAAATTATGTCATTTGTTGGTCTTCCTAGAAATCTGTTGTCTGTTCATCTACACAAGCAGAAGTAATCCTTACAGAAGGGGATACCTTTGTTTAGATTCAGTCATTTAAGCAAATCATACTCCCAAGCCAATGACTTCTTTACTTTGATGTTAAAATGTCTTTTACTCTAGTTCTGGGATTATTCCTTTAAATATCCTCAAAGAGAGAAAAAACTCTAAGCCCCAAGAGAATGGTAAGATATTATTCCACAAGGACAAGGATTTGTTTCCCATTTATTCCTCAGAGAAAGAACAATGGTCCGTGAGTGACTGTTACCTTGAGGTATAGTTTAAGAGCTGAATTCTAGGTGATTGCAAAGCACAATCTAGAATTATCTAGATGTTGGTTCTGCCTTCAAGGAGTGTTCTCTCTAAGGGAAAGTCAAGGCCTGCTTCTTTAACCTCTGTTCGACAGAAGTCTGGTAGTTTAGGGTCAGACATAGTTCACGCCACCATCTTCCTGCTCTCCCTCTACTGCTGCTACCTGAAGCCAGTCCTACTCCTGGTGACCCCTGAGGAATTAAACACTTACTTAAACAGATTACATATATATCTATATGTATATACTTAGTGCTACTAGTAGGAAAAAAGAACATGACCTAGAAGTTCATAAGCTGAGGGCAAGTCTAGGTCACAATCAAAGGTTCCCTAAGTCTATCTTTCTTTCTATTATCAGGTCAAAAAATTAATTGTTTTGGATCCTAAGAAACGGTTGAATACATTTCAAGCCCTCCAGCATCCATGGGTCACAGGTAAAGCAGCCAACTTTGTACACATGGATACTGCTCAAAAGAAGCTCCAAGAATTCAATGCTCGGCGCAAGCTGAAGGTAAAACAACATGGTTTGTTTTGTTTCTTTTTTTCATTTCAAGACATATTTATTTGCAAAAATTGTCACTGGTTAATCAATCCATTAATAATTATCAATTCAGGAATGATGTCCTAAACATGGACTATGGGATACTTTATTGTATACAGTTATGAAAACGTCATTTATAAGCCTATTGTTTTGTACAGTTAATTAATGAAAGGAATTATTTTGGTTCTTAAAAAGAAGAGTTTTCTTTAGGCATTCACACACAATGAAACCAAAGGAGGATACTCTTAGGAAGGAACACAAGGCACAATGCCTATGTATATCTGATCATATAAAATTATATTTATTGAAAATATAAAATAAAATAATATTCATCCAAGCTGAAGGTAAAATAACATGGTTTGTTTTGTTTCTTTTCTTTCTTCTTCTTTTTTTTTTGTCAGTCATGAGGCCTGAACTCTGGGCCTGGGCGCTGTCCCTCAGCTCTTCAGCTCAAGGTTAGCACTCTACCACGTGAGCCACAGTGCCACTTCCAGCTTTTTTCTGCTTATGTGGTGCTGAGGAACCGAACCCAGGGTCTCATGCATGCAAGCACTGTACCACTGAGCCACCTTCCCAGCCCTGTTTCTTTTTTTTCTATTATTCATCCAAAGGAACTCCAGGAAATGGAAACAAACAAACTATAAGAGGGTTTGTTGTTGTTCCTTTAGTACTAGTATTCATTTCTCTTGGCACTAGGGGAAAAAATCCTAGTTTGAAATCCCAACAGTGCTGACATAGAACCACTGCTTTTCTCTCATGAGTTCTCTCTCTGTTAGTAACAATAATAATGTTGTTTGTTGAAATTTATTTACCAAATGGATGATTGCTGGTGCTCATCTAACTAAGGCATTGATCAGAAAACTTAACATTTACCCAGAAATATGCTTTATTTTTGAATGAGTGAAAATTGACAATCTTGGAATCTGTATTTTATAAGTAATTTCTATACTTGGCAAACATTCAAGTTAAGTAACACAGAAAATATTTAACAGGGTCTGGGAAGGTGGCTTAGTGGTAGAATGCTTGCCTTGCATGCATGAGGCCTGGGTTCAATTCCTTAGCACCACATAAGCAGAAAAAGCCAGAAGTGGTGCTGTGGCTTAAGTGGTAGAGCACTAGCCTTGAGCTGAAGAGCTGAGGGATAGCACCCAGGCCCAGAGTTCAGGTCCCACTACTGCCAAAAAAGAAAGAAAATAGTTAACGAAGTATATCTGTTTTGTAGATTATATATGAAATAGAGATTCCACACATTTCTGTGATATAGTGATATTTAGTCTAGCAATAAAAACAGAGTATCCCAGAGAATAACTAAGAGTCAGAATTAAGCTTTTACTCAGTTATTTTTCACAGGCTAATATAAATAACTCTGAAGGGATCTATAATCAAATAAATTTGAAATACCTTAGACAGAGTAACATTGACTTAAGCCAGGATTTCATAAGCTAACTAACTTAACTATGGAACTCTTCTGTCCCCATAATACCAACTAACATCATAGAACCAGTGTTCCATAAAACAAATACTTGGGGAAATAGTCTAAAATTTTAGACTAGTCATCCATGGGGAAACACATTTTGTGATTTGAGATGTCCAGATGGTTTTGAGATTAAAATATTATGATTGCTGATTCTCCAAACAAGTTCCTTCCCAAGACATGAACCTCACAGACACAAGCCATATGAACAAGTTAAGGATTGAACTCTTGAGTTGGATTTTTTTTTCCCCCCCAATTAGGCTGCAGTGAAAGCCGTAGTGGCCTCTTCCAGGTTGGGAAGTGCCAGTAGCAGCCATAGCAGTATCCAGGAGAGCCAAAAGGTAAGCCAAGAAACATCTCCAAATCAAGATGACAAGGACATCAACACTCCTCCTCAAGATGGAGCCCCTCAAAAAGATGGAGCCCCAAAGGCAGCTGAAGGTGAAGAGGCAGAGCACCAGAAGGTGCAGTCCATAAAGAAGGATATAGATGCTGTTGCTGCCTCCAGCATGGTACCCAAAACATGGGAAGATGGGATAAAGATGGCTGACCCCGGAACAGAATATGACACAGAAACAGAGAACGAGCCAGAAACAGAGGTCGACTCAGAAGAGGAGGAACCGAAGACTATGACCGAAACCTTCGACGAAGATCAGGAAGACCCTGACGTGGAACTCGGAGTGCCACAGCCAGATGAGATCCTGCCAGAGTATTAAGCTGGCCTCCTTCAGATCTAGAGGCCAAACCTTGGCATTTTATTTACTTTGTCCTTCAGCAAGGAAGGTGTGGAAGCATGACATGCACTGTAGTGATTCTGTTTTTGAGGTGCAAAAAAAAATCATAGATACCAGTTGGTAATCCTAACTAAAATGCATGTGACTGCTTTATAAAAGTATTAGTGTTTTCTATGGCATGTAACGGATACCTTATACTGATGAATTAATTGATGTTGCAAGTAAACACAACACTTAGAAACACATTTTCAGCACCGGTGACACATATTTGAAGGGAACAGTAGCAAATTGATTTTTCCTTGAAAAATCTATCTGTTTCATATCCGTTGGCTTTCTACAAAAGCAGTAGTAATTCCTGTGAATGACTGCACAGGTATTATTACCAGCTGTAAGGCAGGTTTTTGTGACTTTCCCCACACTTACTTTTCATCATTCATGAGTTCAACTGTTTTAAAGGATCTTATTATAGGGGATGCTTGTACAGTATGTACAAAAATTTCCCTTTGCAATGGTAAGAAATTGAAGCATTCTTATAAGAGGCAAGGATCCATAACTCCTAAAGCTCCTTTGGACCAAGTATTTTTACATTATTTTCACATATGCTATGTAATAATAGGCAAAATGTTCTATTATAAAAGCTGCCATTTTACAATCCTGGAGAAAGGATTTTTTTAACTCATTTTGAGTTTTCTTTTTCCTTCACCTGCTCTTTCCAATAAGATGGCTTCCAGATGGATAGAGCTTAGGTGAGGATAAAGAAATGTAGAGTAACAAATAAGGTAAAACTGAGGCCTAGATATATAAAGATACAATTGTGTTCATAAATTTATACAAACTTATGGATAAGAATTTTTTATGGGTAAAACTGTGTAACTAACAAGTTTCAAATATTTAGAAATATCAATTCCACAGATTGGTGCCAAAAAATCTTTGGAAAGAATGAGGACAGCACATTGCATTTCACATAATTCATTATACATGGTACACAATAGTTACCTCCCCTTTCAAATGATAGTTACCTGGGTTTATGAACTTAAATATAAAAAGTACAGGTTTTTTTCTCAGATTTGAATTGAAATTTCCCACACTTTGCAAAGTTCTGAAATTTTCCATGGCAGAAACTTTAGCGCAATGTAAAAATTTTACCTTAACAATAAACAATAACAAAACTAAAGAAAATACTCATTTCAAATAAGATTCACAAGATGCTAGAACAGATTTCATTGTACTATTTTCCCTCTTCTTTCTTTGACTTTCATGGAAAAACTTCCCTCATCACAATTTTATGAATTTCAAATATCTCAAATTTCTAGCTGAGTCAAAATGAATATTTTATCAAGAATAATGATCATATTTTGGTGATCATTACTTTGGTGTGTTTTCTTAATTTTAAAGGATTATTTTCCAAGTCCAAAATGGAGACAATAAAGGTGATAAGCAAATAATCTTCCTAGATAGTAAATTTTAAATTATTCAGGTTCCTCCTAACATTGTTGTTGGAAAGTAAAGCTAAATCTCTGCCTTCTGGAGGCTACCGGATCTCAGTACACATTCTGCCTGTCTTTTGAAGAGAAAAGGTAAGGCTTCTTATAATCCATAGAGATTTGGTAGTTTTCTGATACCAAGAAAAAGATCCTGATGAAGTAAATCACCTAACCTCAGGTAACTATTTTGGTTTTATTTTTCTTTATTAATTACTAGTGTGTGCCCTTTTCTCCCTTTTACCTTCTTTTAACTTTTTTGGACTTCTCACTTTGAGTGTTATATGTAAAGGGATTAATACTTACTTTTCAGCCTTAAAGAATAATTTCACTAGGCACCACTGGTTCACAACTATAATCCTAACTACTTAGGAGGCGGAGATCTGAGAATCACAGTTCGAATACAGCCTGGGTAGAAAAGTCCATGAGATGCTTATCTCACATTAACACCCAAAAGACAGAAGTGGAGCTGTGACTCAAGTGGTAGCATGCTGTCCTTGAGCACAAAAGCTCAGGGATAGACTACAGGCCCTGAGGTCAAGCCCCAAGACTGGCATCAAAGGGCAGGGGAAAGGAAAAGAATAACTTCATTAAGCATTAAGCTTTCCATTTAAGAAGAAGAAAAGTTTTCTGGTATAATTTTTCCAATGAGATTTAAAAGGTATACATGGTAAGTGTCTCATACATAAGAAGAGCAAAGAAGAGAGAGAAAGGGGTATTGTTAGAAGACGCCAATTCATTAGGAGGTAAGAATACATCACCACTACCAGCTCACCTAATACTGTTCCAAGTGCAGATGTGTTAACATTCCAACCTGAGCGGACTGATTGATTGGCCCCGTGGACAACAGAAATGGCCCTGCAAAGGCCAGAGCCAGTACACATTTTAGAATTTACTTACTTAGGTGCTGGGAGGTTGGCTCAGTGGCAGAGTGCTTGCCTCACATGCATAAGGCCCTGGGTTTGATTCCTCAGCACCACATAAACAGAAAAAAGCTGGAAGTGGTGCTGTGGCTCAAGTGGTAGAACGCTAGCCTTGAGCTGAAGAGCTGAAGGACAATGCCCAGACTGAGTTCAGCCCACACGACAGACAAAAAAAAAAAAAAAATTACCCACTTACATTATTGCATGTGACCATTCCTTGTTATATTCAAGCATAAAGTAATTCCCTCTCTTTTATAATCTATAAACTACCTAAGTACCAGAAGGAATTTGAAATTTTGACTTGTGTGTAAGAGATTAAGTCCTGACAATACCTATATGGTGACTAAGCCCTTTCAGTTCAAAATGGGTCAACCATTCACAAGAAAGGCATTTCAGTCAAATAATTCCAAGACTTTATAGGCATACACTCTAATAAGTTATATAGGGATTACATTAGAGTATTTGAAAGGTCAACATTTACATAGCTTGTTAAATGGAAATAGGTATCTGTTTTGAAGATTATTTAGCTAAATTAATGTAGAAAAAGAGAATCTGAATTTGAAAAAATTACTTCATAATATTAGTCTTAATTGGCAAAGTCACAAAGCAGAATACTTTTTGAATCTCAACAAATAGCAATCAACTACATTTTGCATTTTAGAGTTGACAGTAATCACATTATTTTATTGGTTTTCATATTGAGAAGTTCAGACACACTGCATAAATTAGATTCTTTTACCATGAAGGCACTCTTGAATTATTTTTCCCATTAAAAGAAATCTAATTGTGATTCTAGTGGTTTTCTCAAACTGTAAAGCGTTCATTGTCAGGCTGGGATGTAGCTCAGTGGCAAAGTGCTTGCCTAGCAAGTACAACGTCCTGGGTTCGATCCCCAGTACCAAAAAAGAAAAGACAAAAAAAGAAAATACAGTTAAAAAAAAGAGTTCATTGTCACAGGGACCCATATATAAGGTAGAAAACTGGGGACACGCTTGTAGAAGCTATTGTCTAAAACAGTACTGTATGGAATAAAAAGATTACAAGTCACATGTGTTTTAAATTTTCTAATATCCATAAAATGGATTACAGTATATTTTAACCCAGTGTATCTAAAGTATAACAATATAACTAATATTCAATGATGGGATATTTTGAATTATTTTTATAGTAAGTTTTCAAAATGAGGGGGTGTTTGTTAACACCTTTAGGACATCAAATAGTCAGGAGCCAATAGAACTAGTGGTTGCTGTATCTGTGCTAATGCAGAGCACTTCTTATTTTAAGCAAAGTGACATTTCAGTTTCTGTGCCTCAGTTTTCCACATTGGTGAGAAGCCAGGAAGAAATGTTTCAGAAATGTTATAGATTGAAATAAGGAGAGAGAGAGAAAAAAATTGGCTACTCCTGGTCATTCATGGGCTTCCACAAGTGTTTCACAACCTGACTTCAAAGACGACCACTTTCCTGGGCATTGCCAAACTGGCTGCTGGCCAAATTCTTCTGCTCCCTCATCATGCCCTGGAATAGAGTCTCATAAATGCTGCCACACAGCCCACAGTGTTCTGACTTACTCAAATCTGCTGTGGTTCAACCATATGTCCCCCATGAGAAAAGACCACACAGAGAATCCAGATTTGTCCACCAGTACTAAGCTGGCCACCATCTTCTATGACAGGCAGTCCATCTTTTTAGACATACAAATTTGCATAATGGGCATTGTATGATAATGGTGATACTATGCCAGTTACCCCACTTCCCCAAAATGGGAAGATGGCCACTGACTGATATATTTTTTTAGATTTCCTGAGAAGGGTTTAATCAACACTGCCATTACACACAGACTTTTTAAAGACTTTCCAGAATTTTTTTTTACATTCTGATCTAGAAAAATCATTTTTTAGTGGGAGACTTAAAAAAAAGAAAGAAGCACTTTGCCTTTTCCTAGGACCTCAGTTGCACAGTATTTTAACATTTTTATAACAATGTTTAGCAATTTCTATTTCCATTTTCACATGCAAGGTAACTAATTGTAGGTTGCCTACAGGCTGATGATTTAAAAAGAGCCATTTTGTTTCATAATTCAGTTTTTATTGCACTGAAGCAGCTGGTTGCATTTAAAATTGGAAAAGGGAAAGTAAATGCCATAAAGGCAAAGAATAAAATTAGTAAACCTTTCCTGTTTTGGGATTGTTCTTGCAAAGCCAATTCAAAGACATTTTCTTTAAAAGGTCAACAAAGTAAATTAGTACTAGGTTTTTCTTGATGGGTGTTTGTTGACTTTACACACACACACGCGCGCGCGCGCACACACACACACACCAAATACACAGCAGAGACAATTACAAAATTAGAATATTATAATATGATTTACTTGTCAAGGTAGAACATTCAATCTTGCCATGTAGGTCTACTTGAGACAATGCAATGTTTCTAGACATTTACTTGTGTAATAGGATTTGTAATTTTCTTGTAAGTACTAGCCATTAGGTCATATTCCAATTTCCTTAATGCTTATCATTACTACATTCCTGATACATTATTTCCTTAGTGCTCACATTAATGCATTGTTAACTTTTGAGCATTTACTGATTTAACACTGGTGATTAGACTGTATGTCTGCAGTGTTTTTTAAAAAAATATTGTACACATGTAATATTGGTATTATAATATTTGTAACCACATGATAAACAAAATATACCCAATCATTTTCTATTAAATTTTGTCCTTTTACTCTTCTGACACATTCAGGGTGACTTTCTAACTCCTTGATA